GGGGGGCGGAGGGACGGCTGTGCGCGCACGTGCCCGCAAGCTCATGTATGCACGTGCATAAGAAAAAGCCACTATATAATGAGAATCATAACAGCGCTACCAGTCCTGTGCTTGACTTTAAATTCCCACACTAAAAAAATGAGAGCGATTTCCTGGGCAAGCAACCAGGTAAGAGACGTGAACATCGTACCACCCGGAAAAAGGAGTTAATGATGCTAACCTGGACAGGAAAAGAAACCGGGGCCAGTGTAATCCTCTCTCTATTTAAAAAGAAAAAGAAGGTGGTTGGAAATGCAGAGACACTCGCTACTAATGCTAAGAAATAAGTGTGATAACAGTGAAAACTGTCCTCCGATAGGGACAAGTCTGCCTAGGAAAAGAAGCCGAAACATGAACTTAGTGTGAATACTTAGCGGGTGGCCGGTGTCATGCCGCGCAGGTTGCTGCATTAGCTTATTCAGTTCTCTCGAATGCCCGGGGGCAGGCGCTGCCCTGACCCTCACAGTCCAGGCGGGGAAGCCGAGGGTTGGAGAGGCTCGTCGGCTTCTTCTCGGTCACACGGCCAGTGAATGGACGGACCCGTGTGGGGTCCTGGAGCCCATGCGTGCTAGGCCACCGAAGTGCTGCCTTTCATCCTAGAGCAGTGGTGGCGAACCTTCTGAGCTCAGCGAGTCAGCATTTTGAAAAACCCTAACTTAACTCTGGTGCCGTGTCACATATAGAAAGTTTTTGATATTTGCCAACATAGTAAAACAAAGACTTATATTTTTGATATTTATTATATATATATGGCCCGTTGCAGGAAGATTCCTATAAGAATAGGGCTTCCTGCAGCTGGAGTGAAGCAGAGAAGGGTGCAAAACCCGCTAAGGCAAGCGTTGCTCCTGCCCCGCTGCCCGGTTGGTTTCCGAGGAAGGGAGAAGGATAGAGAGTTAGAAACATCGATGAGAGAGAAACATCGATCAGCTGCCTCCTGCACACTCCCCACCGGGGTTGTGCCCACAACCAAGGTATATGCCCTTGACCGGAATCGAACCTGGGACCCTTGAGTCCGCAGGCTGACGCTCTATCCACTGAGCCAAACCAGTTATGGCTATTCTATATAGTTAAATGCCATTTAACCAAAAAAATGAGTTCACATTTCACCTCTGACACGCGTGTCATAGGTTCGCCATCACTGTCCTAGAGCATGTTGCAGCACCGTCTGATACGGCAGAGATTTCAGGTAAGGGGTTGGTTCCATTGTGAGAAGTTTCCATCGCAAGACAAGACCATCGTAGGTAAGCTCTAGAATCTTTAATCCGATTTCCTGAACGTTGAGAATTGAAACATTCGTCCAACCTCCTTGGCCACTGTGCCCACCTGTCGCCTTCCTATTTTACAGAGATGGGGGAGAGTCCAACAGTCTCCAGAAGGACAGAAAAAGGGGAGAGCGGGATGGCCAATGGAGTCGCCGAGGAAACCCGAGGAGGTTGCGTTCCTGGGGCCAGGGAGTGGACGGATGTTCCGCAATAACCAAACGACGCGCGTGTGCAGTCGCTCCCACGGAGAATGGAACAAGACGTTCATTTCCATGAAAAGCGTGGCTGTCACAGGAGGTTCCCCCAGTGCGACTGTCTTGAAACAAACAGACGTGGAGGCACCGTGACAGGTAGAAGAGCAGGGTCCTGCTGGCATGGAAGCCAATGCCTTGGACAACAGCGTGCCCAGCCGCCCTTCTGGTGGCCTGGACACGTCGGCCTGCCCCGTGGGCCTGCTGGGATGCCCGCCAGTGATGGTGAACTTGACTCTCTTCCGTCCTGTCTCACTGAAGACGCGGCAGACGCTGAGAATGAAATCGGAGCCATTTTCACTGTGGGGAGCTTTTAAACTCAATTTGACGACCGTGGCGATGGGGATGCTTAGACAGCCGGCCACTGGGCAGCAGAACAAATAAGCTCGGGGTTCCTTCGGAATTCATGAGCAATGGCCCGCGGCGACCCAGGAACTCCCGGGAGAGGCTCAGTTAATAAAATCCCCCTGAAAAATCAACATTTCTGCCCAACAGGGCTTTGTGTATTAATTTCAGGAGCTGGATGGCCATTTTTCCCTTTAACACAGATAGAAACCGAATCCCCTTATACTGAGCGATTTTTTCCTCTGCTTCATAGAAATTTCATCATCATTTCATGCCCCCACACTCCATGCCTTGTTATTGAGCTCATTGCTCTTACGTCTACCTTGATAAGGCCCTGGGGCCGGTGGTACTGGTTTTAGGTTTTGGCTTCTTCCAGCTGTGGCTTTGAGGCTCCTGGTAACATTCCCTGCCTTGCACGGAGCAGGTGGCTTTGTGAGTGTTCCTGCTCTTGTAGCTTCTTCTCACCTGGGTGGGGGTAGGCTCAACCTCACCCCTTCTTCCCTGCTTTTGAAAGATGACAACTCTGGGCTTGTGCAAGTGGCTAAGGGGCCCATTCCTGGGACTGGGTGAATCATCTGGAAATGATGACTTCTCTCCTTGAGTGTGTCACAGCGTGGTTTCAGGGGGGTACACGCGAGTGGTCACGGGGCACCCCCCAGGGGTCCTGTAAACACAGGGAATGCCTCGCTCTTTTCACAGGGACACAAACATTTCTTTTCTCATTGTGGCCCTCGCACGCCTACCGTCACTCTCTTTATCTAAACCAGGGGTGGGAACCTTTTTCCTGCCACGGGCCATTTGGATATTTACATAATTCCCCAGCCATTCAAAATCATCAACTTAGAAATTAGCCTGTTCTATTTGGTCAAACATTTAGTTAACTCACCTCTAATGCCTTGGCAGAGCCAGACCCAATGATTTCACCGGGCCTTATATGGCCCGCGGCCCGGACGCTCCCCATCCCTGTTCTAAAGGGCGCCTCTGCTAACAGGACCCAGGCCTCGAGTAACATCTCAACCGCGGGGGTTTGGGAAAAGCCAGTGATTTCACTGGACAAAGTGGGGCTGCGGCTAAAATCGGAGAGGGAAGCATTTCTGAACAAAGCTCTCTCGGGTCACCCAGCGTGAGAAACGGGGCTGCAAATATTTAGAAACTTTCCCAGAAGTTATTTATGGCTCACATCGAGTTAGAGTTTGAATGTCTTTGTTATTTTTATAGGAAACTAATTTGGGGGAGGAGAAAGCACCTGTTTCACCCACTCGGAAAAAACATTCCTCCTGCGATTTCCATCGTTTCCCAGCCCACGTGATGTGAACACCGGCAGACGGAAATGAACACGACCCAGCGCTGACATGTGCTTAAAAGTGGGGAGATAGGGACAGGGCCTCAGCTGCGTTCGGACAGGAACAGCAGCCGCTCGTTGCGCACAGAAGCCGGGTGAGGAGTGAGCTACTCACAGGTGTTGGCGGTGCCCTTGGGGATGGGGAGGTACGAGCCTGGGCTCCAAGGCCGGCCCTGGTAGTTCTTCTTGCACTTCCCACAGTCGGGCCCTGTCGTGTTGTGCTCACACTCACAGGTCAGTTTGCTGTTGTCGTACACGCACACCGTGGCGTGGAGGTTACATTTGCACCTGGGCAGAGGAGAGACAAGAGGTCATTGTCAGTGAGGCTGGCCTGGTGGTCACTGAGCCTGTTCCCACCTGTGTCGCCGGGTTGTGGCTCCAGTGCCCCCTACAGGCTCCAGGGGAAAAGGCGGATTTGCAGCCCTGCCCTTAGGATCTTTCCAGCGGTGCCCTGG